TTTAATGTGGATTTGAGATGGCTTGAGAATTAGGACACTAGATTTTCCTCAGTACAAAGCCTGTTGCTACAAAGAGTGATGCAAAGTATCATAGGACCTAGTCTACTATTGTGATTAAGGATATAAATTTTGGTATAGACGGACATGGATTTAAATCCCAGCTCCAACATGTACTACCTCGGGGACCTTGTAGAAGTCATTTGACTTCCTGGTCTTTAGTTTCCTTACCTATCAAATAAGAATACAAATATTCCCCTGACTCATAAACTCGTAAAAATAACATGGTGTGTATAAAACACCAGTACCACTTAGTACACAATGAGAACATTCAATAAGGCAGCAATGTTTTCCCCTAATAAGAGAGAATCAGAGGGTGTCTTGTTGGCTCAGGGCATGATGCCAAGGTCCTGAGATTGAGCCCCACATTGAGCCCTGCATCAGGCTCCCTGCTCTGTGGGGAGTCTGCTTCTCCCTCTGCCCTTCCCCTGCTTGTGTGGCTCCTTCTTTCAAATAAACAAACAAACAAACAAACAAATAAATAAAATTTTTTTAAAAAAGAGAGAGAATCAGAAAGGTAAGCCTAAATCAAAATATCCTAAGATCCTGACACGGATGTCTTATAAGATTTCACAATAAATCAGAGAAAGAGATCTATAGAACCATTTTTCTTGGAAATTTCTAAAAATACTGTTAGTCCCCACTCTCCATGTCGGCTTAAGTTGCCCTTCCACTGAGATTGGAACTAAATAATCAATGGCAACATCCTGGAAATGTACCCCAAGAAACACTGCCCTTTATTAAGAAACAGGAAAGTCTTTCTTTGCACCTGTTCTTAAGTGTAGTATATTGAAGCACAGATAATTCAGTTAAACATCTGTTCGTAGGCGTGACATTAATGAAATTTAACAGGGAGGACAGGCTGCAGGGGAATCAAACCTGCTTCATTTATTTCTCATCATTTGCCATGAACTGCATTTGTCTGCTTCTTCTTTACCTGTGCCTTTCACTGTGGTAAAAATAAACAACTGAGGACATGAACATTGTTACTCTCTTAGAATCAGGCAGATGGAAAAGTGAGGTCATGATGACCTATCATGAGAAATACCACCTGCCAACACCTGAGCCACTTGAATAATCATGGAAAGATTTCTTGGAGTCCAGAGTAGTCCTTGCTTAAGGATTTTGAGTGCCTTATTGGTTTTATTCAAGAGCCTCGTTTTAGCAAGATGGTATGTATTTAATTTAAAAATTCAGTCTGGCCACATTGGATTAATTTATGCACGTGATATGTAGGTTTACTAAGGGAAGAAAAACAGAAAAAATGACTCTAAGCCAAAAACACTTTATAGAAATCTGGAGAATGTAAAAAGCACCTTTAAAAAAATCATGCCACAGAGGTTTGAAAAGTGATGATAATTTTGTGATATTACAGTACTAATGTACAAATCAATCAATAGGCTAATCAATGATGTGAACACTATCTACAAAGAATCAGATTAGGTTGGGGTGCAGGAATAAATATAGAAGGAACACAGGACATGACCTTTGTGCCTAATCTGGGTATAATAATGGAGATAATTAAAGATGTTAATGACAAATACACTTAGTTCATATCACATAGATGTAGGAATTATAGATTTTGTCATCTTTTCTACAGTTTTTGAAAATGTGTATATGTTTCATTTCTTCTGTAGTGTCCTAAGCTGACTCCTGCTTTTTCCATACCAGCTTTATTTGAGCCTCTGTTTGGAATTCCATACCAATCAACTTTCCATGTCCCTGCCTCTCTGGATCACCTAGTCAAGAAAATCATGTTTATCAGAAGTTCTAAACTGTTCGGTGCTCAGGATGACTCAAGTGTCTTAATTAACATTTGGAAGATGCCTTTCCAATTGTCAGAACTGTGTCTGGCTACTTCTTTCTGCCAATCAGTGTTTATGCATTTTCAGACTGTCTCTAAGAACTGACCTACTGCTTTCTTCATGTCAAGAGATTGCCAATTCCTACTCTCATTATCCAGCCTGTGCTAGTTAGTTTGCGTTTTTCCATAACTCCTGCTTCCCTGGCCCATCAGTAGCATTTTCTACCATGAAAATTTTCCATGTTGATTTGGGAAGGGTGGTGACCCAAGTACAGCAGAGGAAAGCAAAATGAATTCGAGAGCCATAACACATGAGTACAAACTTTCCCCTCAAATCACGTACACTAGACGTTCTCAAACTTTACCACACATCAACATTGCAGGGACACTCTTTGAGAACCAGTGCCACATTTGAATCAAAATCATTTCCAAATAACATGTAATCCAAACAAAAGGCTGTCTCATTTTGCTCTGTGACAAGGAGTTCTTAACTTAGAAGTCCTTGGAGACACTTCGATCAGATTCAAGGTATCCATGGTACTTACTGCACAAATTATATTTTATGTTACATTCCCATGGCTGAGATTACCTCTGGATGCTTGAGAGGGCCCATTGCTCTCAGAAGAGACTCAAAGTATTAATTTTTCCCAAACAGCTTCTACAACTCCCACTGATGCCATGCAGAGAGAGTCAAGCCAGCATATTTGAGGAGACATTGACATTAGAATATACTAGAATAGGGCTCTACAGTTTATAGAGCTGGCATATAATTCTCCTGTTCTTTTTATGGTTAATAGAATAATTTTATTACTACACTGGTCTTTGTGATCAGTTACTCCATTCTTCTATGATTACTCACTGACCCCTACCAAGATGTAGATCTATTAACCAACCAGCCAAAAAGTTTAGATGGAGCTCCAATTATAGGCTTAGTGTGGTGTTGACTCAATGAGGAACCCAGAAATCTCAGAGTCCTTGCTCACAGATAACTCTGGGTGAGGTTGCCGACATATATCATTCTTAAGCCCAGTGAGAATAAGATCCTTGCTTATCTTACCCCAAATTCTGTCTTGTAGGCCTAGAAAAGCCCCTAGTAAATCATAGGAGCACAACCAATTATTAAATGAGTGAATGAAAAACCTCAGGGATTTATTTTGTAAATGCCATAATAACATTGCCAGGTAAACGAAATATTCACCGTGTCCGATTGGACAAAGCTCTTACACCTGGAGGGTACTGCTGAATGAAGGAAACAAGGAACCCAACTAATAATGCCTGTGAATAATCCGCAAACTTGCCTCACTAGGGAAAACAAATCGAAACTTAACTATGACACGGTTTCCAACCTTTCTTTACACCAGATGTTTGGCATAGGTAATAACTGAGGTCTGGGAAGATCACTTCTCCACTCCATCCTTTTCTGTGGCAAGTGATAATGTTGATGGCAACAGATTCAGGTAACAAAAAGCAAGCTACCCAACCACATATATTCAGCACGCCTTCTTCGGTAAGTGGGAGGCAGGCAAGCCCTTACCTAGATTTCAAGCTGATGAATCATCTGTCTAGTTTCAGTAAACCTCAAGGGACTGCTCGGCTTTGTAAAGCTGAAACCCCGTCAGCCCCTGGATGCATTTAAACAAGGACAACATGTTAAAAGGAGTCAGGTTATGAGGTTTCCTGAGGAATCCCTACTTTCTGAGTGCATGAAGTCCTCTTTCAATGCACAAAAAAGAGCCTTTTAACTAAAAAAAAAAAAAAAAAAAAAAAAAAAACAACCCGAGAAAGTTCTTTTTAAATCGTGTATAGATGCTGATATATCAGATACATTAACAGAAATATTCATGATTTCCTATATGAGGCCATCCATTTATCCAAACTGAGGTCCTTCCTATTCCATTATCTCCATGGAAGCACACACACATAGCCTTATATGTATTAGAAGAAAGAAAATTCCTCCTTCTTGGGGAACACCTGTCTTGGGAGTTCTTGGTTGTAGCATCTGAGCATGCACAGGGTCGAGCATACAAATGGTGCAGTGACTCTTTTGGAAGTCACATTTGTCCCTGAAACTTCAGTCACCTGGAGACTGCATGCCTCATTGCCTGCAGCAGCTCAATCCTGACAGCGGAGAATGAGTTTAGAAATCTCATTTGAGCAACAAAATTTGAATTAAGAGTTTAAACAGCACAATATATTTAATGTTGAAATGATCTTTTTTTTTTTTTGCAATTTTTGCTGACTGTGGAGTTCTTTCTTTTTTTTTGCTGTTGGGCTATTATAATCATCTTGGTTTGGTTTAGATTTTGTCATGAAAAAGGGAGATAACAGGATTCAGTAAAATAGTACATCAGTTAGCTCCATTTCCCCATTTTTACACACAGAAAATTTCTGCTTCTTTTGCTATGCTAACACACTTACACATAATTCCTGGAATCCCTACTACATTCATATCCACTGCTTTCAGACACACACTCACAGGGCACCAAAACACAAAATCTCGACATGTCAAAATCAAGCCAGGCTGAAGATGTAAATAGGTGGATATGGCACCAGGTGGATGTGTAATCAGTAATAAGAAATACATCGAGCCCCATAATGAAAAGAAATCCCCCAAATTGTTCAGGACTCCCCCTCCCCCTTCCATTCACTGATTTATTAACCCTGAACAAAGATGTAATTGCAGGGTCTCAGAAACAACTTTTTCTTTTCTTTTCTTTTCTTTTTTTTTTTTTTTCCATTTTTGGCATTTGTTTTGTTTGGCTTTGAATTTCTTAATATCTAGTCATACCATTCATGGCCTGTTTTCTTCACTCAGTTGCCCATCTTCCCCCCTCCCCTCCGAGAAATGAAAGAAGCATTAGCTTCTGAGTCTTAAGGATGAGACCTCTGCATTTTCTTTGCTTGTTTAGGGCAAGAAATGAAGTGCTGCCTCTTTAATTGGCAGAAGCATGCAGGAGGAGCATACCTTTAATTTAGTGTTGGGATACCTCACTTGCACCCTGGCTGTTGTCTTATTGGAGACGGCAGCCTGCCTGAGATCCTCTAGCACTGAAATAATATCATCCAGCACGCATTTCTTATCCTGATTTTTCAACACACACAGATGGGAAAAAGTATAATTATAGCCCTTGTGGTTCACCTTCATTTCCAGCACGGCTCGGTGGGTCTGCAGGATCCCCTCAGCCTGGAGCAAAATATTGTCCCCGGGTGGGGAGAGCAGGATCACCCTGCCATACCTCCCAGGGGTGTGTAAGTCCGAATAGAGCTGGCTTTTGGACTGGTCCAGGGGGAAAAGGCTGCTGGCCAGGCTGCGCTCGATCTTGGCCAGGCTGTGGCTGGGAGCGACCAGGCGCTCCAGGTCGCCCTCGGGCTGGAAGCGGTTGAGCGCGCTGAGGCCGAAGGTGATGGTCAGGACTGCGGGCACGGTGAGGAAGAAGACGGGGTGCCGGCTCACGCACAAGCCCAGCCTGTGGCAGAACGACTGGAGCCCTCTGCGAAGCACCTGCCGCAGCATCCTCCACCAGATCCAGCTCGCAGGCGCTCCCGGCCGTCTTAAAAAGCACATGTGACATGTGTAAGCGCCTGGCTACCCCCCGACTCCCCGTCCCCCCCTCCGGGCCAGCCCCCTTCCCAGCCCCCCGCCTCGCCTCCCCCTCCCCGCGTTCACCCCCGGCCGCTCCGCCCGGTCTCTCCCCGGCCCCACCTCCATGCGCTCCTACTACTCTTTCAAACACTGCAGCAAGTTGCAGCAAGGCGGGCAAACGCCGACCGCGCGCGTGGGGGCCCGCGGCGGGCGCTGCGGGGCCCCGCGGGGCCCGCGGGGCCGGCCTCCCCGCGCCCTCGCCGCCTCCCGCGCCCCTCTCACCGCATGAGCAGCGCTCCCTCGGTCTAGCCCTTCATCTCGGTGCTGCAGTCCCCCGGCCTCCCTCGCTGGAGGTGGTTCGGTGCGGAGCGTCCCACCGATGTGGATTTCCTCTCCGTCCTGACGGGGTTTGGTGTCTAACTGAAACCATGTGCCTCGGCGTTGTAAGAAGCAGACATGTGCCCCATAAGGGGCGGGGGGGGGGGCGGGGAGGAGACAGACTAGAAGGGAGGGAGCGGAGGGGGGGGCAGCTAAGCTTTGCTTTTTTTTTTTTTTTTTTTAAGATGCTGGCAGTTATTTTTAGAGTTTTGTTTTCCCTCTTCCCTCCTGGCTGGAGTGAATGGAGGAGGAAACGGGTGAAGGTGCAGCCGGCCCATTGGAGCAATGGCAGTTAGAGCCTGGGGTGGGGGGGGCGTGGAGGGAGGGAGCTCGAGGGCTCCTGGAGGCGAGCAGCGTTTTTGCCCCCATAGGGAAACGGTGCCCTCGAATTCTGCTTTCCAGCCGAAGACAAGGGAGCAGAGAGGATGATGCTGCATTTTTAACATACCACAAAGCATGCAAGGGATTTCCTTGCAACACCTTCCACGCTGTCATTCCCCAGACTAGTAGGCTGCAGCCCAGGGCTGCCAGAGACCCCATCTGTTGGTGGTGCGTTGGGGCTCTCCGGATCCTTCCCTAGCTCTGGTGACTGGAGAGGAGGCATTTGCCAATAGCAGCCTAGCCTGTGGCTTGGAGTGTGTGTGTGTGTATCCAACGCTCGCTCGCGCGTTGGTAGTGAAGATCCACAGGCAATGTGTGGTTTCCCATAAAATATTACATTTACTTTCTGTACTTGTGAAGTTTAGGACAAAAAGTTCTTAAAACTGATTTCAGTTCCCTTCCCCCATTCTCCTTTCCATCAGGTTTACTCTGATGCGAAGTGGACCAAGAAGCTAATCTGACTTTCTCTTGTGAGTGGTAGTCCAGAAGCAGACATTTTGGGACCTCTATCACACTGTTTTTGCCTGCGGAAAGAGGACTAGAAGGCTCTAGATGGCTAGGGGGAAAACACATTGGAGTCATCTGATAATGTAAAACAGTAGTCCACTTCACCCCAGAGGAAGGAAGACTCCTACCGGGTACAATTCCTCCCTCAGTACCCACCACTATGAAGGCGACAAAGTCTCACCTGCAGACCCCATCGAATTCAGAAACTTTTACATTAATAGATGTGCATGTGTACCTTATTTTTTACTGATTGGACCTTTCACAAGACCCAGTGTTCTGGAAAGAACATGAAGAAGTCTTGAAGACTAGTTCTAAATTTGGTGGTGAACTGGAGACCTGCCTTCCAAAGCTTCTGTTCTTTTTGCATTGACTTCATGGAGAAGATGGAGTTTCAAAAGATGATTCATTCACACTTTCTTAATCTGGGTGAAAGGACCTGTTCTTCATCAGATACTTAGAGATGTGCCCATCTATGCATACAAAGAAGCTGAAGGACTCATCCTCCTAAAAGATGCCTTTGATGTTTGCTAGTGAAATCAGTTTTTCAGTTAGGAGACCAATGAGACTGCAGAGAGCTCTGCAACAGGGGCAGCGCTTAAGAGTGATAGCTTCAAGGTGGTGTTATATACAAGATTAGAGACACATTCCAGCCTTTAAAATTGAAAGTGATCTTGGTGACCATTCATTCTGCATCCCCACCGAGGGCAAGAACAGCTTCTATAATATTCTTGATGGTTCTCCACCCATCCCATGCTTCTATATGAGATTTCTTTTTTATTCTCATTCTATTATATTCCATTTGCTATTCTATTTACTCAACATTTTTTTGAAAAGATTTTATTTATTTATTTATGTGTGAGAGAGAGCATGTGCACAAGTTGAGGGGAGGGCTGAGGAGAGGGAGAAGCAGACCCCCACTGAGATAGGAGTCTGACTCAGAAGGGGGGCTCAATCCCAGGACCTTGAGATCATGACCTGTGGTGATGGCAGTTGCTTAACTGAATGATCCACTTGTGTGCCCCTCAATGCTTTTATATTAGTATGGACTAATGGATATTTAGACATATTTCTATTGTGTTTGGGTTATAACTCAATACTACTTGTTATTTTGTTGCTCAGATTGTTCCAACTCTGTCCATTAGTTTCTGTCTCCCTTTGACATAACCCATTATTATTATGTGCTTTTTTAAAAAAAATATTGTTCTTTCTTGTGCTGTAAGATAATCCAAGCTTGTCTTTTATCTTTTCTGCCCCAGTATTAGCCATTTCTCTAATTTCTCTAACCAGCCCTGGTTTGTTTGATTAGACAATGGTATTAGAAACAAAAATCTGGGTGCTAAATGTGCTGCTTGCTGTTGTGGTGTTAACACTTCTAAGCCTTTCCAACTGACAGCAAGAAAATACATGACTGTAAAGATCTTCCTCAACTTATGCTGGGGATTCATCCTAATAATCCCATGGTAAGTTGAAATTATTGTTAAGTTCAAAATGCATTTAATACACCTAAACTACCAAAGTTATAGCTTAGTCTAGCCTACCTTAACATGTTCAGAAGCCTTACATTGGCCTACAGTTGGGCAAAGTCATTTAACATAAAGCCTTTTTTTTTTTAAGACAGAGTGAGTTCACATATGGGGGGCACGGGGGCAGGGGGTGTACAGAGTGAGAGGGTAAGAGAGAATCTTAAGCAGGCTCCATATGGAGCCTGACCACAGGCTCTGTCTCACAATCCTGAGATCATGACCTGAGCCAAAGTCAAGAGTCAGCTATCAACTGACTGAGCTACCCAGGCACCCCAACATAAAGTCTATTTTATAATAAAGTGTGAATATCTCATGTAATTTATTGAATATCATCCTGAAAGTGAACAATACAATAGTTGTAAATACATCGGTTGTTTACCCTCCTGGTTGCATTGGTGACTGGGAGCTGTGGCTCAGCGCCATTGCCCAGCATCAGAAGAGATTGTCTTACTGAATATGGCTAGCAAAATTCAAAGTCCGGTTTCTATGGAATGCTTGCACAGCATCATCAAGTTGAAAAATCCTATGTTGAGCCATTGTAAATTAGGGACTGTCTATATGTTAATTTGTGCATTTGTGTATCTATAAATAGTTCTTTACATGGCTCTCTATATTAAGTTAAATAGGAGTTTTTACGTATGTCTCTGACTCTAATCTATCGCCACATGGATCATTCAAGCCTCTTTCCCATGCTTACCTATAACCTCCCACGTCAACAATGACAAACTGGTTCAGTAGGTGATTTTTAAATCTCTTTTCTATGATGAAAACATATTTTTAACAGAAAAAATTAAGGGAAAGAAGAAAAGCATGGTTCCTTAATTTTCATGCTATGAAAAGCTAATGTCAAATACTGTTATAGATTCATTAGGAAGATAAAGTATATGCTCAAAGAAGGGAAGAGATAGCAACATTCCACATTAACCTACAGGAAGTTACTTTGCACTAAAATATCAGTGAATATCAATCACATGATAGTTTTAGCTAACCTGATTTAAAATAAAGCTTAATATAAAGCTGAAAGCAATGCATTTAGAGGCCAGTCAGTAACAACACAAGAATCTGTGCTGTTTAGTTCACCTAGGATTAGTCTTTTCTGTTATGTGTTGGTCAATATCAGTTTTCAAGACTTGGAACCAGTTGGAATTTATCCACTTGGCATTTTGAAGGATAGGACAGCAGAGGAACATGTATTTGCACACAAAATAGCTGAGTTCTAGGCCATTTCCACAAGTTACCTTCTGGGTGTTTCGGGCGAGACGCCGAACTCTCTGATCCTGTTTCCTTATTTATACACTTGGATATGTGATTATGTTCTTTATCTACTGGTCAATTCATTCATATCGCCATTCACCAAAACTCTGTAGCTCTTGTTTCGTTAACTGAGGCATAATGTTAGTGATTGCACCAAATAAACCTCTAAATGTTAGCGGTGTAACACAAGTTTATATCTTGTTCAAGGTATAGCCATGATGACTACTTCTGCTTAGCGGGAAGAGGTAGACCTCAGTTCCATGGTTCACTTATCCACCTTTAGCTCCTGGCTTCCAAGGGCATTCCTGAGGTCATTCCTAGCCAGCCAGCTGCAAGGGGGGACAGAGCCCAGAAGAGCCCACCAGAGAAGTGTTTCTGGCTCAGTCTGGAATGGCATACCTCCCTTCCTCTTACAGCCTAAGATTAGAATTTAGTCGCAGGAGAGGCTGAATAATGCAGCTTTACACAGAACTCACTCTACCACAGCCGTCTCAAGCAATGCTGGCTTTGGGGCTTTTTAGAAAATGCTCACTGAGCTTCATCTGTGGCTTTAAGGAGTTTGCATTGCACCTACCCATATCTCTTAGTCAGGCCTCTTGTATCTAGGAAGCGCATACCTGAGAGACACAGTTTTCAAGACAGTTTTGGTCTTTATCATTTTGGATATTTCCAGCTGCAATTGGTTTAAACAGTAAGGACATTTCTTACCTCCTACAACAGAATGTCTTCCTCATTCTGCTTTGCCCATCCCTGGAGCATGCGCTTTCTGCTTGTGCTTGCTCACAGACCACAAAACAAGGCAAAACTAGATCCTGGGGAAGAAGGTGCCTCTTTCTGTGCATCTCATCTGAGAGTGAAGAGACCTTTCCCCAAAAGATCTCCAATGGCTTTCCTAAATCTCATTTCTCATGCCCCTGTCTAAATCTCATGCCCTGGTGA